TCAGTCTTACATAATTCTATTTAATCCAAGTATGTGTATGTGTATGTGTATAACTTTATTAGATATGTTTATTGAGCTATTGAATTTGTGTGTGTGTGTATATATATATAACTTTATTATATATGTTTATTGAGCTATTGAGTTTATTGATTTATGCATAAAGTCTGTTGAGCTCTTAATATGTGTCATGCACTGGAATAAGCACTTCATTTGCATTGTCACATTTAATTTCATTAGGTGTAATCATTCCACTTTACAGATTAGAAAACTGTGGTAGAGAGAGGTTAAGTAACTTGTCAATGATCCCACACTAGGAAATAGTAGACCAAGGATTTAAACCCTTGTGTGTGTGTGATTTCTTATCCAGCAACATCAGCGTTACCTGGAAACTTGTTAGAAATTCAAATTTTCAGGCCCCACCACAGCTCGACTGAATCATCAGAAACTCTGGAGATGGGGCTCAGCAATCTGTGTTTTGATAAGCCCTCCAGGAGGTTCTGGTCTTGGGAAAGTTTGAGAATCACAGCCTTCCATTCTTCTTCCCCTCAAGCGTTGGTTCCCGACCAGCTTTTCCAGCCTGCCTCTGCCCCAGCAGCAGCTGCCTTCTGGCTTTCACTGCCCGTTCCCCAACCCCCAGGCCTGCCTTTAATCACCTAGCTGTCTTTAATGAATCCATCCATACAAGGAATATTACTTAAGCTTATTGAAAGAACAAACTATGGCCTAGGTTTCTCCCTTGAATAAGCACTTTATCTAATCATTATCTGATGAAAGCTGTGAACCTCCTGTCCAGAGAAATGCACATATGTAGGTCCATGTAGAATTTGTTAATTACATTTCCCTGGAGCTGGTTCATGGGATGTCCGTGGAGTTCAGGTGAAGACTCTCAGATAGTGGTGGCTATAAAGAATTGTCTAGGTTATAGCCAAGGCCCATGAATGCCCCTGGCAGCAACAATAATGAGCGGTTCATCTCTCTTCACTAGTATTTTTTCTTTAAAAAAAAAAGTCTCACCTCTGACACTTAATTAACAATGGGTGAACTTAAGCAAGACTAACCTTTGAGCCTCAGGTGTTTCTCTCTGTAAACTAGGGGTAATAATACCCAACTTTTAGGATCATTGAAAATTTAGCAGTAAAAAATTTAAAGCTTCTTGCATTATAGTAGGGCACTCATTAAATTGTGTGTGTGAGTGTGTATTCTTTATCATTTGGAAAATATAGAAAATTACAAAGAAAATAAATAACCCATAAATATAATAAATGATAATTCAGAGATAACCACAGTTGTCTCTCATTTTTAAAACATAGTTGGAATATACACAGTTTAGTAAATCCAGTTTTTACTGAAGAGTATATTATGATTCTTTGTAAACTTGCTTAGAAAGAGTTATCTCCAATGAATAATTTAGTATAATACATGAATAAGACTTAGTCCCTGCCTGCCTACACTCTACTGTATATTCTTTGTCCTATAATAGCGGTGAGGGATAAGCATTTTTTTTGTTTTAATTTGGTACCTACATAGCAAACACCTTTGAAATTTCCAACCCCCTTCTCCAGTCACTTCCCAATGATAACAAGCTTGGCAAGAGGGAAAGGAATGGAGGTGAATGTGGGCTTAAAATGTCTCTATTTTCCTAGTCTATTCTGATACTTAAAATTTCCCCCCAGCAAGACTAGAATCAATTGTGTTTTATCTCCAGATGTTATGGCTTGAGACCTCAGTTTAAATACTGTTTATTCATATCGAAGGCTGTTCATAATCTCTTTTACTGTCTTATCCTTTTTTTCTCCAATTGCTTGCCATAACATGAAATGTCTCAAAAAGAGAAAAAAATGTCAAAGCAATGTTTGTTTCCTGTTTTTATGAAATGCATTTCTTTTTCTACTCAAGTTTTATCTCCGATGGTTGATTGTTCACTGTTGTCTGGAGCAGGCATTCTCCAGTAGTCAGACTGAAAGCGCAAACTACACAATCATAGGAAATCATGGGCAGACCACTCCTGCCCTTAGGTCTTTGCCACCGCTGTCACTACCACCTAGTCTAACTTTATACATCATGAGCCCTGAGAGGGAAAGGGTAGGGTCGTTTTCTCTTCATTTTTGTCCAGTATCTAGTACTGTGTAAAATTAACAATTTACTCAATAACTCTGTTGACTGAATATTATGTATTATCTTCAAATAAGCATGGACAATTCAAATAAATTTTTCCCCTGGATTTCAGACATTCTTATATCAACTTTAGTAATTGTTGGTTTGAGGGAAATCCAGCAATGAGAAGAAAAATTGCAGATAGAGAATCCTACATTTTTCTGCTTCCTTAATACTTAAAATGTTTTTTATACTTGTAACCAGTGTAGATAAGATAGACTTTTAAAATAAAGTCATGTTTCTTCCAAGGGACCGTATATCAGCCCTGAGAGAAGTCAGCGTGCATCATATATAACATCTGGAGATTTATGATCCCTTGGAGAATGCTGGCAGAACTCTTCTAGTCTTCTCAGAATTGTATTTGGCTTTTAAACTTTTTTATATTTACATCTTTTTATCTGTAAAAATGATATCTATTCATAGTCAAATATTTGAAAGATATAGAAATTGTAGGAGGAAAAAAACCACCATCACCAGCATTCAGACATAGAAATATAACCATTCTAACCTTTTGTTGAATTTCCTGCTATCATGTTCCACATTTGTTAAATGTATTATAAAACAGAAGGTTGGAGTAAACTATTATTTATATTCATTTTGATATTATACAATCAGCTTACAAGATGCCCACTGTTGGTATAATTGTCTTCAAGTCAGAATATTAAACATTTCCCCCGAAAACTTTATGTTACCTATATTAGGTCAAGTATCTTTAAGTTTCTTTTCTGAAAAATCAAATTTAACTAAGGTAGGAAAATCAGAACAATCTAGTAAGAGCAAGGCTCCTCATTGAACCTTACAAATAGAATCTTTGATATTATTTATAAGCTTTTTATTTCAAAAATTCCAATTATCATTGTAATAAAAATGAACTGTCAAATTTACATCTACGTTGATTCAGATGCTGTACCTCCTTTTTTCTTTTGCTTTCTAGAATTCTTTGTGTATTATTGAAGAAGACAATAAATTCATCTTGCCCTTGTCAATTTATAAGTCAGATTACACTAATCCCAATGGCATTATGATGAAAAACACTATAATAAAAAAGTATCCAAATTTCAGACAATGAGACATTTTTCAAATATTCTTTAATAATAGATTGTGTTGAAACAAATAAAAAACATATATTAATTTTAAAAGGTTTCACCTACATCTTTAATCTTGAAAACTATATAAAATAAAAAATATCAGTATTTATTAAGAATACGTTATAAACTGATCACATATTAGAATTGAAATTATATGTTATGATATTATTTCTTTATGTGATCTGTTTACTTGACCTTGGACTGAATTCTATTAATTAAACATATTTCAAGAATTGTAATGAAAAATAAAATTACTGTAGAAAGTGAATTTCCACAAGTTTTGGCAAGGTTTCTAAATTGATGGATTTGCGTCACCCAGCCTGTCTTGTCCTGGATGTGCTAATGAGCAGTCAGAGCCAATACACGAATAAAAGGAAGGAAGAGGAGGAGAAGTATTTGAGCATATTTATAGGCAATCCATAGCTCAATGACTAGACACTGAATATCTGAGAATTGCTATTATAAAATAGCATATTTTAAGAATGAGAACTTTCTCAAGTTCTTTTACTCCCAGAACAAGGACTGTAATCTTACTATATTTTTAGGATGCTTGTCTAGGGCAGACTTTTGATATAAATAAATGATGCATTAACATTATATGCAGACAGAGTGTATAAGCCAGCTGAAAACTAAATGGGGGAGAGTTGTATGTTTATACAATACAATTCCAAGGTCAGTTCACTAACTCTACTGAACATCACAGCTCAGATTTTTTTTCTTCTTTTGATATATATTCCTTTTTCTGTTAACAATGGATATCCTTTTATCAAACATTCCATAATTCTGAGTCCAGTGAGATAATTTTTTGTAATTCTTCCTTGACCCATATCTATACAGTTTTGTAAACATCTAACAGTTGTACAAAACAACGTAGTAGTCTAAAATAACTGAAACAACTGAACCTGGAACTAAAGGAAATTAGGAAATAAAAGACTCTATATAGCAGTTGAATTTTCAGTGAATAAATATTTTTGATTTACTGACTGTACACTGTTTTTTAAGGACATTGTCAGTCGTCTCTAGGTGTATTGTTTATATCTTTTGGAGATTTTAGCCACAGTGACAGAAATGTTGTCTGATGGAAATTACTCTAGGATCAAATATTTTTTAAATTAAATTTACAATCTAGTTAAAAATTACCCATGAAGAAAGCCTTTTCAACTATTAAGACATAATTGCTTTACTCTTGTTTAACTGTATACATAGAGTATCTAGTTTGAAGTTTAGAAGGTAACAGAATCTTTTTAGCTGAATGCATGTAATTTTAAAGTTACTTTTCGATAGTTTTTGCCTGTGTGTGCAGTTACTCATAAGTATTTTGTTGAATCATTCAGCAACTTGATCTCATGACAACACAGTCACCTAGATTGTTCAGGTCTCTATCTTTAGCTTATATTTGACTTCAAATTTTTTTACATTTTACATTCTAAATAGTTAATTATGTATTGATTTATTTTTAAATTCCATAGTAGCAATAGCCAGTATAGTAAAGATTGCCATTATAAATCCTTGGTTATAATTTTATCTGTCTGTTTTGCAAATAACACATCTACCCAAAATGATATAATTTCCTTTTGTGATGAAATATTAATCCACACAGGCTAAAGGAGAGCGATAGATGGGGTCATTATCAATTTACTGTGACCTTTAAATCTCCCTCATACATCGCTACACTATGTCAATAAATAAGAAGATTTTATCTAAGTAGATCCCATCACGATTAGGTAAACATCCTCCTTTTTTTTTTTTGGAAGTTACCCTCTAAAGTCCTCATCATAAGCCATGGGGGCCTGTTAATTGGAGATCTTCAGGATTTTGTCCTGCTGCAGATAGTAGATTCTGTTCTGCATTTTCCTTATTTCCTAGGTGACAGAATAAAAGGCACACTGATTAAGTTTGGAGATTACACTAAGCTAACAGGGGTTACAAACACTTGGAAAGCTAGAACTAGAATTCAGAATGATCTTAATAAATTATATAAATCACATTTCAAAAATATGGAACAAATTCAAGGTTATATTCTGAGAAAGAAAAGCAAACTTGTCAACAGAGGGAGGAAGATTGTTTAAGCACAGATAAGACAAGAAAAAGACCATAAGCTTAAGATGAGTCCCCAGAGTGGTGCCCACCCTAAAACAAGACTACAAAGGCCAGCTGTGCTCTGCAAAAGGCACAGTTAGCTCCTTTGTGGCCAGGAATACAGAAAATTCAGATGAGGCACGTCTGGAACATGCTCCGCGTCCCGGAGCCCTAGTTCAGCGAGCTGGTGAGAGCAGGCACAGAGGGTGTTGCATGTGCTCAGGGCACCTTTGAACAACTGTCCACAGAGAGAGAGTCGGTGCCAGGCCCTCTTCAAACACCATGCATTCAGGGAGTACGTGAGGACTAACAGGCACAGAGAGGTGGTAAGAGCTTGTTGGCCTTTAGCAAAGCATGCTATAAAACTCACATGATACTGGGATTTAGGGAGATAGGAAATAATCCTTTGTTATGTTTGGCATTGTATAAGCTATTATTAAACTGTTTTGTTGACTACAAGTCTCTACATTTTAAAAGGAAATAAGGAAGTGTGAAAATTGGAAAATATCTGTAGAAGAACAACAGAAATGCTTAATGGGATGTAAAATAGGTCATGTGGGGAAAGGTTACAGGAATTTGGTCGCTTAGCCAGGAAAATGGAGAGCTGAGAGATGACTTAATAACTGTCATAGTATAGAGGTTTATATTAAGAATGCTGACCAGTTCTCCATCCCTACAGAAGAAAGAACAAAAGAAAATTCAAGTAGCAAGAGAGAGCTTGCTTTTACGTTGGAAGAGATTTCTTGATTATAAAATATCATTAAGCATTGTCTAAGACTACCAAGAGACATAATAAAGTCTTTGAAGGGGTTTAAAATGGAATGAACACCCCTCTGGTTGAAAGGCTTGAGAGTTTACCTGCTTGATTGTAGAACGGAGCCAGACAACCTCTTGAGGAATTTAACAGTTCTATCATGGTCATATATATACACACATATGTGTGTGTGTGTGTGTGTGTGTGTGTGTGTGTATGTGTGTTTGTGTATATGTATGTATTATACATCAGAGTCATCTTCCTTTCTTTGACCTGCTTGATCATAGAACTCAGCCAGACAATCTCTTGAGGAACTTAACAGTTCTATCGTGGTTATGTAGTAGTCATTGTTATGACTACTACACATTGTAGTCATCTTCCTTTCTTATCCATCTATAAAGATAAATTTACATTATTTTTATATTTATATTAAGGCTTTATTTGACAATTTCAAGTGATGACTTTGCTTACTCTTTTCCTATCTCTAAATAAGTACACTTTTTCTCTGTTTTTTTACTCATTCAGCAATGTCTGTTGAGTGCCTGCTGTGTGCAAAGCACTATGCTCAAGGCTGTGAGTGACACAAATAACTGGACATTCATTTATTCTTCCTTCACAAACATTTACTGGGCACCTCCCTTGTGCTAGACACTATGCTACACGCTCAGAATCCAAATATTTGGGCAAAGACAGCTCTAAAGAGCTCACAGTCTAGTGAGTGAGAATGATAAGTAAACAGAATTGCAGTGTGATGTGATGAGGCCTGTGCTGAAGGTATGAGCAGGCAGCTTTGAAACACATGGACATAGTGGACACATCTAATGGAGATTGCAGTAATTTTTGGAGGTTGGGAAGGGTTTGCTCGAGGGAATGACGTCTGAACTGAATTGGGGTGTGGTGGGAAGGGAGTCCATTGTGCTCTAAAATGCCAAGAGCACTGTGCTATGAACCCATGTTTCCACCTAGCAAGATACATGAAAACATTTGTTTCATTTTATCAACTAAAATATTATTGATTCTGTCCTCTGCCCTTTCTTGGATCTTTAATAAAACAATGAAATCTGATTTACAGTCAGGTCTATTATAGGGTGACATACATGTTTCTAAATTCATCATGCTGCACAGAAAATTGTAGCTTAGGGGAAAATGGAGTTAGGGGAAACACTAAAAAATTTCATCAGGGACACAAAATTTTTAAAAGACAGGAACCTAATAAAATGGTAGCACAGTTTTACATGTGCTAGGAGTACATAATAATACTGAAATACTACATAGACGCTGCAATAAAAGTGATGGTAAGCCTTGAAAAAGACCTGGAGTTTACCTGTGGAAGTCGGAGTGAGAGGGTGAAGTTGTAGAAGGAGGTGATCTGAACTCCGACGGAGAGTTGTGACAGCAGATAGGCATGCATGTGGCTCATAACTGAGTCATAACACACAAAGCGAAATGAGAAGTTTGAGAGGTGTGCTTGCGTGTGTTTTGTAAGCTTCTCCGCAGTACAGTTCAGCTGGGTGCAGTTTTCTGTGCTCACCTAGTGTTTCTCACCGAGAACTGGCGTAAGCAAATATGAGATTTGCATTATGTTCAGATTGTTCTCCAATGTATCAATCCTGTTGGAACAAATTTGCAACTTCAAAACAAGCCTTATTGCAGAACTGGCTGTATATTGCTGCAAATTAAGGTCATAATTTTTTTTTTACTTTATCTCCTGGTATTTCTAACATAATGTATTTAGGTTCTATTTGACGTATCAGGATTCTTCGTAAATTCAGTTTTCTACTTAACTAGTGTTGATATAAGTGACTTCCATTTCTTCCAGAGCAACATTTTCCTTGCAGCTTCTCTAACAGGAAAGCATCCACCGGGAACTTGGCAAAACAGGTGAGGGCCATGCAAGTGCAAATAGTGTTTTGCAGTCTGAGCCTCCATATTGGCAGCAGTCCTTGGGGAGACGCAGGAACAAGGATAGCAGGTATTTTTTTCACTCTGGCAAGATAAATGGCCCAAACCACAAAGGACAAATCTCTAGAGGGTGGGGCTTTGGCCATGGACCAGCCTGCACAACAGGCCCACAGAGAGCGATGCCTGCAGGATCAAAGTGTTCCCTTTTAGTAGGGAGCCAGTGGGTCCAAGGAGCTGGTGTTTTCTTCCTGCTCTCCCCTTTTTGGTAGTGGGCATAGATTCCGGCCCAGGGGAAGAGGAAAACCCCACTGGAGGAAATTGTAGTTAAGGGCAGAGGAGGTAGCAGCTCGGGAGGCTGGTCAGGAAGTGTCCCTTATCGGGCCCCTGTCTCCTTTTGAAATATTTTCCCCCACAAAAATATCAAAAGGATGTTTTGCTATCTATGCAATGTGGTGGTCATTTTTTTTCACATAATTCAGGTGTTCCTACAAGAAAGGCAGCTCTTAGGTACGTCATCTAAGGTAGGGGAGAAGAAACAGTTTGGGATTTGGATTCAGGAGCAGAGAGAGTAATCACAGGCACTTCAGGGTGTTCTTGAAATGGTGGGAGTGCTCTTGTTCATGCTGAGCCCTGAGTCACAGGCCCAGAGAGAGGGGAAGGCTCCGTCTGCCAACTGACTCCCAGATTAGACAGCCCCTGTATAAAAGTTGGGAGCTGAAGGGTTAAATTACACCAGATGATAAAATTCTTACATTGCCTCAAGCAAACATTCAGCTGACAAGAATGTTATTGTATGTTCTTTCTTGAAAGCTTTAAGATATGCTTGGGTTAATTAGATTTCCAAATATGCAAATATGCCCTAGCGAGGTTTTTCTGAAATGCACCATTTTGAAATTATGTAGCATGGCATTAGTGTTCAAAATACTGAATTGTAAGACTTAGCCTGAATAGCTTACTAACATATCATATAAATTCATAATTGATCAAACCCATTTATTCCCCACTGTCCACATTATACTGTTCAAATTGGGTTAGAAAGTCTTATGGAAATTAGGTTCTCCAGCATGCTTTGGGGGAAGATCAAGGAGTAGTTTAAATTACAGCAGTAGTTCTTCAAAAAATGCCAATTCACTTGTCTGATATCAGTGTTTCCAACATGCTCAGTTTAGGGAACACGAGGCTTCTAGAGCCCTGAGACTGTAGATCACCTGAAGGAAATCAGAAGAAACTTTGATCTGAAGGGGAAAAAGTATTTTAGCAAGGGCATCTGAAATGATGCCACTCTGTTCACCTGCTTGTGCCAGTGAGTAATTTTAAGATTTCAACTTCTGAATAGTTTTTTTAAAATATTAGATTTTCGTTTAGAAACGTGTCATTTATTTGGATGTTCCATATAAGTAGTTTTTTGGTTAACCGAAATGTTTGCACTTTTTTTGTTAAAAATAATTTATCATTTTTCTTGGAAACCTTTCTAAAATGCATTATATTCATCTGTGTTTTATTAAGCAGTATATACTGAAGTATACTAAACGTAAACCAACAATTTCTGGATAACTCAGATGTGCTGTGTCCACAGGGCCCAATGAAGCGTGGAAAGCTGTTTATCCACACTTCTAATGACCTAGACCATGGAGTCGACAAACTTTTTCTGTAAATGGCCAGATAGTAAATATTTTAAGTTTGGAGGCCCATGTGGTCTCTGTTGCTGCTACTCAGCTGTGCCACTGCACTGTGAAAGCAGCCGTAGATAATATAGAGTGAGCTCTTTAGCAATATCTCACCCCTGTTTATTGCTTTTGATGGGCTTTGGCCTATAAGGAAAAAAGCTAGCTTGTTAGAGTTGTACCTAAAATAAAAGTCATTAGACTCCAAGAGAGGGCAAAAAGGCTTTTGGGTAAAGAAAGTACACAGTGCATTTACTATGGCTTTGCCTTCTCGATGCTTTCTCTGAGGCCATTTTTATTTATTTCTAGGTTCTTGATCAAATCATTAACATGTAAAATAAGTTTTGTGTTGAAAGAATTTTGTTGTGATTTTGTTTTCTAACTATATACGTCAGATTCTCTAAGAAGAAATTTCTCAACTAGATTTTCATGGGCATAGTTTAGTGTGTCTCGTCCAGTGTTTTCTATGTTTATGAATAGTTTATCAAGAGTAACAGATGTGTCTACTCTAAAAGAAGAGACTAAATTGGCTCTTAGATGAGAAGAAAGTGCCCTGCCCTCACCATGATCAGTGTACTATAATATTTTATGCTTACTCTAGATGTACTTTATTCACATAACTAAACTTTGTTTCTGAGTTACTGGGAACTCTTTAATCTGCCTCATAGCTGAGTTGTGAGAGCATGGGATCTGGGTTCGAATCGTAGCTCTATCACAACTGTGTGATGTTAAGCGAGTTACTCAACTTCTCTAAGCCTATAAAATAGGGATGACAAGGGTGCCTACCTGAGAGCATCGTTGTTCTATTTCTTTGATGTTGTTGCCCTTATTATTCCTTCTCTTTTTCCTCCTCCTTTCCTCCAGTGACACTCAAATCAGTTATATGTTTAAAACTTAACATGCTATTTAAGTTATACTATCCTGTTAAGACCCTTTTTCTTTCTAGTTCATCATTGAAGCAGACAATACCTGAGATTAAAATAATTTGTCTCACATTAAAAATAGGTGGCCACAGTGATGCATGGAATATAGGAAGTGAGGATTTGTAACATAAAGAAGCTACATCCAAGTACAGAAAATGTTATTTTATCATTTTTGCTATTACATTGTTAGATGTTTAAGGTATTATCTACATCTAATTTGGGATGCATGCTTGGTAAAATAGTGAAAATTTTGTATTAAACAGGTCCTAAAATAAAGTCTGCTGGCTCTAGGAGACAATGCTAAGTTTAGCTGTCAACATTGGTCAGCAAGATCTCCCATGCCTGCACATCCAAGAAGTTCCAGAGATATAATTCTATTATTCAATTTCCTAGTTGCTGTCACCACAAGAATTTAGGAAGATCTAGCTTCCTAAGCATCAACTGTCTAACAGTTACTGTTCTAATCACTTCCCTAGAAATATCATCCACAGTCTCTTTGGTAAACACAATTTAAAACTGTGTACCAAAAAAAAAAATCATCTGAGCTCACAAGGACTCCAATAATGATATGAATAGTATAGTTGATGGAAAGTGTCTTGGTGGGTAATTAGGCAAATCACATTGGTACCCAGAGCAAGTCGCTTAATCTTTGTGGGCAAGAGTTGTCCCATCTTTAAAATAAGGAGATGGACTTTAGGTTTTACAATGACAGAATAAAAACATTTCTGTGCCCTTCTCTTGAAAATCACCCCCAAAACTAGAAAAAAGTTCAGTTGTGATTAAAGCGGATCCCCGTAGCCTGAGAACACAACTTTTGAAGCTGGAAAGTGGAGGGAAAAATAAGTGACTGGGATAATGAAAAAGTTTTGGAAATTGATAGTGGTGAAGGTTGTACAATAATGTGAGTATAATTGTTGCCACTGACTTATGCATTGAAAAATAGTTAAAATGGCAATTTTTTAATATATATTTTTCCACAGTAAAAAAAAATTCTTTTTAAAGGAATGATAACTGATTTAGTAGAGAAGAGGGAGGTCAAACAAAAATGCTTGCAGGTTGAGAGTACCAAAGAACAGCTAGCCAGTTTACCTCCCAGACAGGTCTCAGAAATTGGAGGTCAGGTAGTAACAGAAGGTGAGGGCAGTGAAAACAGAGATTGCTTAAAAATGTATATGAGTCACAGCCAGGCCTCCTAATCTCCCTTTCCCCCACATCGCCACTGTTCCTGGTCAGGTGACCTTACCACTTCCATCCAGGCAGGAGATGACGCTCTTGGGAGGATGAATCAGAGCCTCAGGACTTGGAGACTGCAGGGACTGAAGAGGATGAGGGAGCATACTGAAAACATGGGTGAAAGTCTAGTACGAAATGTGAGGCTCCAGCCTCTTCTCCTGATGAGCTCCAAAACGCAGATTGTCAGAGCTTATCCCTGTGAGCCCTCTCACCTGAGGAGTTTGTATGTAGCTGATTGTAAAATAGGGAGGCGAGGAGCCAAAGCAATGGCTGAAAGAGTTGAAAGTCATTGCCTCTGAACAGGAGGAGGGGAGCGGATGGGGATAAGTACCACCCCTCAGTTTTTAACAAGCCTTTCATTATTGTTTGATTTCTAAACTATATGCATGTAATACTTTGTTTTTTAAATGATTAAAATAAAAGATATAAAATCAGGGACGATTTTTAAGACCCCATCTTAAACTTTTGTTTGTTTTAGTCATAATTCGATCATATTGTTCTTTATATAAAATAGTTTCTAGCTTCTTGACTTTTTTTTGTAAGGGGAAAAAATTCACCATAATAGCTATTTCTAGGGAATGCTAATTGGTGTCCTCATATTTTATGTGTGGTGTATATTTGTATCTAGATATATATTCTTCTCTCTAGTGATTATATGTCTGTACACCGGACTATGTCAACTTCAGGATCACTAAATTGGTCCTAATCCAGAATGTCTAATAATATAACCTGGTCTGGGCCTAGCTTCTTTTGTAATTTTTCATATGAGGAAACTGTTTACTAAGTAATGGAATAGGGTATGTTTGAAAACATTTTTGAGGAAGAAATGTCCTATCTAATATCCAACCGCTTTGCATTTGCATAGAAAATGTGTGCTAATTTCAAAGG